GGGGGGGCGGGTGACTCTTGGGGCGGGCGCTAACCCCGCTCTCCCCGTCGCCCCCTGCAGGCGGAAAGCCACGCTGCCGGGCGAGAAGCCTGGGCCAAAGAAAGATGACGACGTTTCCAGCGTGAGTGTCGTCCCGTCCCCCCCTCCCCGCCGCCCCCCCACCCCGGGCCTGTCCCGCGGCCATGCCAGGGCAGGGATCTCCTGTTTCTGGGGAGGGGGCTGAGCCCTGGGGCCTGGCTGGGCCGGTGCCGAGTCCCAGCAGTTCAGGAGGGAGCTGGCCCCACTTCTTGGGGGGAGGGAGATCTCCTGGGGCTCATTGGGGGGGAAGAGGGGCTCGCCCATGGCCGCAAGACCCACTGACCACCCCCCCCTTGTTCTGCCTCCAGCAGCAAGACGCCGCTGAACCCTCAGGTACTAGGACCCCGAGCCTGCCGAGCGGTGAGTTGAGGGGGCCCGGCCAGCCCCCGAGACCCCTGGCTCCCAGCATGCCCAGGGGGAGGACAGGTGGAGCAGGGCATGCTGGGAGCTGAATGAAGGGGGGGGCGGGGGCGGGCAGCCCCTCGCCTGGGCATCATGCTGCCTGGCACTGGCCAGGGGCGCGGGGCCCTGCGTGTGGGGGGCCCACGCATGGGGGGTTCACACCTTGGACTCTCTGCTGGGGTTGGGGGTGGGTGTCTGAGACCCCTCTCCCCATGGACCTCCCCAGTTAAAGCGCCAGGCACCCATTTCTCCCCTCTCTTGGCAGACTCGGTGCGGAGGCCCTGGGAGAAGAACAGCTCCACCCTGCCCAGGTGGGTGCTGCCGGGCCGGACCGTGGGGAGGGTGGGGGTCAGCGCGGCTGGAGCCAGGAGGGGCCGGGCCGGGGTCTGAATGCCTCCCCCCTCCCCAACCCCCCAGGCATAGTGAGACCCAGGAGAGCAGCGACTCTCCCAGCCCCGCACAGAGTAGCACCAGCCTCTCGGGGTAGTGCCCGGGCATGGGTCGGGGCACCGAGGCCATGGGGCAGATACTGGGCAGACTGAGGGGTGGGGGGGGCACTAGGCCTGGCTCCAAGGGAGGAGAAAGGGGGTACCCTGGACACGGGGGCT